CCCCCTCCCCTGCCCACTTCAATCACTACTATACAACATTTTACTAGTTAGTTACTACATTTTTTTTTGTCAAATTTGTTTTCCTGAAATTTTTATTTCTTTTTTACAAGAGACAGAAAGCATAGATCATTAGAATCATTTATCTTATTACTAGTTTATTCTCTTATTTCATATTGGACTTCTTTCTTTCATTTTTGAAATTAATCAAAATGTAATTAATTTCTGTCTAACTGAACAACAACAAAAAAAACAAACAAGATTTATTACTTCTCTGAACTAAACAGATTTCAATGTACCATTTCATATACATTAGTACCTATGATTGAATTTTTTTATTGAATACATATTGCATCAAATGTATGTGTGTACAGATTTAATTTAGCAGTTAAAGATGTTTTTATTACTTCAAGATTTGTTAAAAGATAATTGCTTCTTCATGATAGTTTAGAAATCATCATCTAGTTGTATACAATGTTAATATCATAAATGATAATTATCGTCTGAAATTTTAAGTCTTATGGATAGTACATTGTTTCATATCTGTTAATCATGAATTTGATGCTTTATATAAACCAGTACCTATTTGGATTCAATTACAATTCTTTTTAACTTCAATTTCAATGAAATCATTGGTCATCCATTCAAGATAATACATCTCGACGTTATTCTTGATAAAAATCAATCATTAATTATTGTGTGAAGGGATTATTAGAAATCTAAACATGAGTTTGATCAATATTTTTCATAGTTGAAATCATAAGTCAATTGAAGCTAGACTACCATTGAAAAGCTGGAAGCAGTGAACGGCCGTTTCGTCCTGTTGTGGGACTCCTCAGCAGTGCGCATCTACGATCCTATCTCCCGAAATCTGAACCCAGGACCTACGACACTCGCGCCAGAGCACTTAACCGATAGACCACTGAGGAGTCCCACAATAGGACGAAACGGCCGTCCAGTGACTCCAGGTTTTCCGTGGTGGTCTAGCTTCAATTGACTCAGGCTTTCAACTATGAAAATATATTATTCCTATTCGTAATATGATTAATAATTCCAAGTATATACGCTTACCTAATAATAATATCAATCGGATTACTTGGTAAGAAATAAAAGAAGCAGTGCCGTCCACGACCCCGCCCGGCTAGCTTCAATTGACCCATAATTTCAACTATGAAAAATACGGAATTCTCCACCAAACCCATTCTGATTATAATATATTTCAATGAATAAAAATAATCTTTCGTTGAGTCTCTACAAGTATAAAGCTTAGCCCAGTTTAAAATTCTTATTAAATTAAGCGATTTTATTATCGCTGACAAATAATGAAATACAAACCATAAGTATTCCATCAGCACTAAGAAGGACTTGATACGCATGACATTGATCACCACCCAGTGATCAATCAATTGTCATTACATCTCAGTCCTACAGGAGGTCGGTCACGGCCCGAATAGCTCAGTGATAACGTCTCTGACTGTCAAGCTGAGTGACACGAGATCGAATCCGCCATGGAGCACCAAATCCCTCAAGATTATAGGTACACCTTGCTGACGAGTGCCAAGTAGCATGAAACCCGGGTTCAGCGTTTTCTGTTGACCACCTTCAACCACCATCTTATCTCATCATAGTGCATGCAGTGTCAAGCCACCTAGATTAGTGGCCACATTGCAACTTGATCGATAGGATTAGATCAGCACTAAGAAGGACTTGTCATGCATAACATTGATAACCACCCAGTGGTCAATCAACTGTGACAAGTTTTATTCTTTTAAAAACTTGTCTGATAAATGTATCAATTGAGCTTACAACCTAAATGTGTTGTTTGAAATAAAACAAAGATAATCATTACATTTAATGAATGACAACAAATACTGAAAACCAATAGTAAATTTAATTAAAATGTCATCATGTTATAGACTGTTATGTAGTGTCCTTGGAAATCTTAGGTAGATACATAAATTACAAACTACTTTCAGATCATTAAAACATTTGGAAATGTTTAGTGAAATTCAGAAACTTACATCTATCTTCATGAAACATCAGAGATTTAATTTTACACTCACTAGAATATTATAAATAAATTATTATCTTTATAAGCAAAGATGGTTTGTGGCTAGCAATGGATATGACTAAGATATGACTCTTCTTTAAAATGATACCTTAATCCCCCTAAAGTTCACTATACAAATACATAAAATTTTGATAAAAGGAAGTAAAACATAGTTTTATTTATTGTAAGCAAAAATGGATAGTGGCTAACAGTGGAACCAGGACGCGTGTTCCGTCCTATTTTGGACTCGTCAGTTGGATGTACCTGCATCTCAGAGTTGATGTTCACTCTGGGACTCGAACCCAGTACCCTCGCTTCAAACACAATCGCATTATCCACTCGGCCACTGAGTCTTGATAGCCACTTGCTTGTACGATGGGGTGAAGTTTAAATTCACTTAGTATTGTTTATTTGAATCTTCCCATTAAAGCTATATTGAGGTAATACGCACAGTATGCACATATGCCTATTAGAGACTAACATCAATGGGAAGATTCAAACAAAAAATACTAAGTGAATAGTTTTGTTCATTTGTTTTTTTTTATTACTAAAGTGCTTGAAAAGTTTTCTAGACATCAGAAAGAAAAATTCCATGAAACAAAAACTGTATGTCCTCGATTTGTTTATAAATTTTTATACGTTTTCCTTTCTAGAGAGAAATGAAACTTTCTGTCATCTTTCAATCAAACAATAATAATAATTCGCAGTCACAAGCTATGTATTATATGTATTATATAATGAACAAAAGAATAGGATTATTTTTTCCAATTATATTAATCTATAATTCTGTTATTAGTATTAAAGGTCATTCAAGTTTGCTAGTCCTCATTCAGATATAAAGGTGAAGTGAGAATTTTCGATTAGCATTGTCAATTGACAATAAACATAAAAACAATTTGACCATAGCCTATTCTAAAAGTACTTACTTACTTATTTACGCCTGTTACTCCCAATGGAGCATAGGCCACCGACCTATTCTAAGAGTAGGTTGTTCCAAATTATATTTTAAAAAAACGTATGAGTTTTGAAATGATTGGAAGGATTTGTAGCTCAGGAAAATAATTTGGATGAAGTGTCATTTTTCAAGCTAAATGATTTTTATCGTGAAGGTTTCACTGTATTTATAGATAACATTTTAGATAGAAGTTAACTGTTCGAATTTCTCAACATATGACTACCAGTTTGTAATAATAATATTGATTTTGATTAAGTGCTGTTGATAGGATAAAAATTATATATTATGTTGATCTTGTTATTTAATTTACGAGTTCATTAGTAAACACTATTGTAACTGTTTAAAACAGGTGGAAATAATCATTCTTGGTTTATTAATGATTCTTCTTAATAATTTAATAGTTGAATTCATGAGTTAATTGAAGCTAGACTGTTATATCCCCTGGTGAATTATGAATGGTAACTCCAAGGACTATTTATCGACCAATGTATTATGCGTATTGTACAATTGTTACGTAACTAAACGATTCATATTTGTGTTTCTCTTATCATGAGCTTTATTTTGATCTTTGATTTATGATCATTCGATTCTTGAGTTATAATCAGTTTATCGATTACTTTGGTTTGTATAAAAACCCAGTATGTTTGTAAATAATGATCCATATTGCCGAGGCTGTTATTTGTGTTCTGGACTTAATTGGCTGGGCTAGGCAGATCGCAGGACCGGTTAGCACTCTAGGCTGCTCGTACGGGTTTCGTGTCACTGTTCCAATCGAGAATTCGCTCTCCCTGATTGGCGGTCTCATCAAGTCACACATCAACTACCCATCCACTCGGCCACAAGATATAACAAATTGGCGACGGGGATTTCGGTAAAAAAATACAAGAATTGGGACGTGATTCTGGAAAAAGAAATACAGCAGTCGGTGACGTCATTTTGGAATTAAATAGTCCATAATATTTGCCGGTGTTTTTTTGGATTTATTATTATTATTATTCGCATTTTAAAAAATGTCAATTTCTCAAGAACAGTTGCAGTTAATAATACAGCAGCAGCAGCAGATGTTAGCTTCTCAACAACAACTCATGGAAGCACTTTTGGCAAAAATGTCTATTCAACAAGATATTCCAGAACTTAAAAGCATAGAGTCATATCTTAATCCAATTCCAGAATTTATTTTCGATGCAGATAGCGGTCACACTTTTGAAGCCTGGTTTGGCAGAATTGAAGATATTTTTCGAGTAGAATTTGCTGCTATGGTGGACGCAAAGAAAGTCCGGTTGCTTTTACAGAAGCTTGGTCCTAATGAGCATCAGAAGTATAAAAACCATATCCTGCCTAAACATCCACGAGAGATTAGTTTCGATGAAACTGTTAACATTTTAAATAAAATGTTCGGTGAACAGATGTCTCTATTTCGTATCCGGTATATTTGTCTACAACTGACTAGAGAAGCTGATGAGCATTATACTACGTATGCCGGAAGAGTAAATTTACAAGTGGAACGATTTAAATTAAATGTGTTAACCAGTGATCAATTTAAATGCTTATTATTTATTTCTGGTCTGAATTCTCCCAGCGATGCTGATGTTCGCATGAAGTTATTATCTCGTATGGAACATGAAGAAATGACGCTACAAACTGTTACTGGTGAGTGTCAACGATTAATAAACTTGAAAGAGGATTCGGCTATGTTAGAAACCAAAAGTGCTGCACCATCTAATCATTCTGTCCATGCTGTTAAGACGAGTCAACGACAAAAAAGTGCCAAAAGCTATAAACATCACACGAAAATTGCTAAACCTTCGACGAAATGTTGGTATTGTGGCGCATGGCACTTCTCAAGATTTTGCAGATTTAGAAATCATAGATGCACGGTGTGCAATAAACTTGGTCATAAAGAATCAGTTTGCCGGACTAGAGAAAATTTGAGATCAAAGCCGACGAAGCGTCCTCACCAGTTTCAAAACAAATATATTAACAGTATATATTCTACACGGGCTCTAAGTATGGCAGATAAAAGAAGGTATGTGGAATTAGTGGTTAATGGTGTTCATGTCCGATTACAATTGGATACAGCTTCAGATATCACATTGATCTCTAAACGAACATGGAATTTAATTGGTTGTCCACAAGTATTACCTACTGAGCATACTGCACGAAATGCATCCGGAGATATATTAAAGCTTGTTGGAATTATAAAATGCTCTGTTGAATTTCGAGATAACTACTTCACAGGGAATTGCTATTTAACGAACAGGCATGACTTAGACCTTATTGGAATAGATTGGATAGATAAAATAAACCTATGGGATGTACCATTGAGTGAAATATGCATGATGAAGTGCACAAATAGTCCCAGAGATCTACCCATGGTTCATGTAGCTAAGAAAGCCATAACGATAGAAGACCTCTTACAGAAACACAATAAGTTGTTCCAGAATAAATTGGGATGCTGTACCATTGGAAAGGCAAAGTTATATTTACGACAGGACGTAAAACCTGTTTTTTGTCCAAAACGCCAAGTCCCGTATGCAGCCACCGATAAAGTTGACAAGGAATTAGATCGATTAGAGAAACTGGGTGTTATACAACCGGTTAATTATTCAGCATGGGCAGCACCAATAGTAGTAGTGCCAAAAGCAAACGGAACTATTCGCCTGTGTGCAGACTTTTCAACAGGATTAAACGATGCTTTACAAAGTCACTCATATCCACTTCCCTTGCCAGAAGATTTATTTATTAAACTAAACGGTGGACGTTACTTTTCCAAACTCGATCTATCTGAAGCTTACTTACAAGTAGAAGTTGACGAAGGTTCGAGGGAGTTATTAACCATTAATACCCACCGTGGACTTTACCAGTTTAGCCGATTACCTTTTGGCGTAAAACCAGCTCCAGCAATTTTCCAACAGATTATGGATACCATGTTGTCTAACCTTGAAGGTGTGGCAGTTTATTTAGACGATATTATAGTTGTTGCCTCTTCTGCTCACGAACTGATGAGTCGGTTGGACGTAGTGCTCAATAGAATATCGCAAGCCGGTTTTCAATTACAAAAAGAAAAGTGTCAATTTATGCTGGATTCTGTTAAATATCTCGGATATATATTTGATAAAGATGGTCGCCGGCCAGATCCAGATAATATAAATGCCAACAAAAATATGCCCACACCAACTGATGTTACAACTCTCCGTTCATTCTTGGGGATGATTGGATATTATAGTATGTTCGTACCCCAGATGTATAAATTGAGACACCCGTTAAATCAACTTTTGATGGCTAATGCAAAATGGCACTGGACAAAAGAATGCCAATATTCTTTCGACGAAATAAAAAGGATTTTATCTTCTAAATTATTGTTGACTCATTACAATCCTAATCTTGAAATAATTGTTGCCGCTGATGCTTCCAACTATGGAATTGGGGCTGTTATCAGTCATCGTTTCCCTGATGGTAAAGAAAAGCCGATTGCTCATGTATCCCGAACACTTAACCCAGCTGAACGAAAATATAGTCAGATTGAAAAAGAAGGATTAGCTATAGTTTTTGCAGTAAAAAAATTTCATAAAATGATTTATGGACGTCGATTTACTCTTCTAACAGATCACAAGCCGCTTTTATCTATATTTGGATCGAAGTCAGGTATTCCTGCATATACAGCTAATCGATTACAACGCTGGGCTATTACACTACTTGCTTATGATTTCCGAATTCTATATAAATCAACTGAAAAGTTTGGACAAGCTGATGTTTTATCTCGATTAATTGCGAATCAGAAGCAGGAAAGCGAAGATTCTATTATTGCAACGATATCATTGGAAGAAGATATCCACCAAATACTACAAGTTGCTATAAAAGCAACACCATTATCCGCTGAAGATATTAGACGCTACACTCAAGAAGATGGCGAGCTGAAACGGATTATAAGTTACCTTGAACATGGTTGGCCTTCTCATATAGACAACAAAAACATTGAACAGTATGCTCACCGACGAAATTCTTTATCGCTCGTGGACGGGTGCCTAATGTTTGGAAATCGAGTTATTGTACCCACAAGCCTACGTCGGAAAGTGATGTTAGAACTGCACGCTGCACATCTAGGGGTAGCGCGGATGAAAGCACTTGCACGCGGTTATGTATATTAGCCGAATATTGATGCGCAGATTGAAGAATATGTCGCGAAATGTTCAGCATGTGCAAAAGCCATGAAAGCGCCTCGCAAGACCGAAATGCAGAGTTGGGGAACACCGTCAAATCCGTGGTCAAGAGTTCATGTAGATTTCGCCGGTCCTATAAACGGTAAACAGTTCTTGATAATCATTGATGCTTTCTCTAAGTGGCCAGAAGTCCACTATATGAAATATGTCTCAACACAAGCTACGGTGAAGAAACTGAGGCAAGTATTCAGTTGTTTTGGGTGTCCAGATATATTAGTGTCAGACAATGGACCACAGTTTACCTCTGCTGAATTTTCGAGGTTCTGCATTGCCAATGCCATTAAGCATATCAAGACACCCCCATACCATCCACAGTCTAACGGGTTAGTCGAAAGGTTCGTGGACACTTTTAAAAGAGCATTGCTTAAAGCCGAAGGGGAAGGAGAAATAGAGGATATAATTCAACGATTTTTACTAAGCTACTGCGCAACTCCCAACCCAGCAACAAATAATCAAGAAAGCCCGGCAGAAGTAATTTTCGGAAGAAAGATTAGAATACCTATGGAACAAATGAAGCCAAAACCTGAAATCATTCAATGCAAGAATAAACGAATGGAACTGCGATTTAACAAAAGGCATGGTGCCCTACCCAGAAGGTTTAATGTGGGACAAGCAGTAATGGCAAGAGATTATCAGGGAGTTAAGCCAACCTGGAAATTTGGCATCATAGTCCGAAGAAAAGGGAAAGTTATTTATGAAGTGAAAGTTGGACAAAAGATATGGGTACGACATGCAAACCAGATACAGCCGACCAGACAGGAGTGGGAGATAGAAAGTGATAGAAAGCATGATATACCATTAAATATATTAACCGAGTCGGATAATGAAATTAAAAAAGACCCGAATAAAAAGAAGACGTGTACAACACTCCCAAGGCGGTCGCAGCGCATCAGGCGGAAACCTAATCGTATAAAAATAAATCCCAAGGATCGCTATTATCCATGATGCTTCAAAAAAAGGGGAGGTGTTATATCCCATGGTGAATTATGAATGGTAACTCCAAGGACTATTTATCGACCAATGTATTATGCGTATTGTACAATTGTTACGTAACTAAACGATTCATATTTGTGTTTCTCTTATCATGAGCTTTATTTTGATCTTTGATTTATGATCATTCGATTCTTGAGTTATAATCAGTTTATCGATTACTTTGGTTTGTATAAAAACCCAGTATGTTTGTAAATAATGATCCATATTGCCGAGGCTGTTATTTGTGTTCTGGACTTAATTGGCTGGGCTAGGCAGATCGCAGGACCGGTTAGCACTCTAGGCTGCTCGTACGGGTTTCGTGTCACTGTTCCAATCGAGAATTCGCTCTCCCTGATTGGCGGTCTCATCAAGTCACACATCAACTACCCATCCACTCGGCCACAAGATATAACAAATTGGCGACGGGGATTTCGGTAAAAAAATACAAGAATTGGGACGTGATTCTGGAAAAAGAAATACAGCAGTCGGTGACGTCATTTTGGAACTAAATAATCCATAATATTTGCCGGTGTTTTTTGGATTTATTATTATTATTATTCGCGTTAAAAAAATGTCAATTTCTCAAGAACAGTTGCAGTTAATAATACAGCAGCAGCAGCAGATGTTAGCTTCTCAACAACAACTCATGGAAGCACTTTTGGCAAAAATATCTATTCAACAAGATATTCCAGAACTTAAAAGCATAGAGTCATATCTTAATCCAATTCCAGAATTTATTTTCGATGCAGACAGCGGTCACACTTTTGAAGCCTGGTTTGGCAGAATTGAAGATATTTTTCGAGTAGAATTTGCTGCTATGGTGGACGCAAAGAAAGTCCGGTTGCTTTTACAGAAGCTTGGTCCTAATGAGCATCAGAAGTATAAAAACCATATCCTGCCTAAACATCCACGAGAGATTAGTTTCGATGAAACTGTTAACATTTTAAATAAAATGTTCGGTGAACAGATGTCTCTATTTCGTATCCGGTATATTTGTCTACAACTGACTAGAGAAGCTGATGAGCATTATACTACGTATGCCGGAAGAGTAAATTTACAAGTGGAACGATTTAAATTAAATGTGTTAACCAGTGATCAATTTAAATGCTTATTATTTATTTCTGGTCTGAATTCTCCCAGCGATGCTGATGTTCGCATGAAGTTATTATCTCGTATGGAACATGAAGAAATGACGCTACAAACTGTTACTGGTGAGTGTCAACGATTAATAAACTTGAAAGAGGATTCGGCTATGTTAGAAACCAAAAGTGCTGCACCATCTAATCATTCTGTCCATGCTGTTAAGACGAGTCAACGACAAAAAAGTGCCAAAAGCTATAAACATCACACGAAAATTGCTAAACCTTCGACGAAATGTTGGTATTGTGGCGCATGGCACTTCTCAAGATTTTGCAGATTTAGAAATCATAGATGCACGGTGTGCAATAAACTTGGTCATAAAGAATCAGTTTGCCGGACTAGAGAAAATTTGAGATCAAAGCCGACGAAGCGTCCTCACCAGTTTCAAAACAAATATATTAACAGTATATATTCTACACGGGCTCTAAGTATGGCAGATAAAAGAAGGTATGTGGAATTAGTGGTCAATGGTGTTCATGTCCGATTACAATTGGATACAGCGTCAGATATCACATTGATCTCTAAACGAACATGGAATTTAATTGGTTGTCCACAAGTATTACCTACTGAGCATACTGCACGAAATGCATCCGGAGATATATTAAAGCTTGTTGGAATTATAAAATGCTCTGTTGAATTTCGAGATAACTACTTCACAGGGAATTGCTATTTAACGAACAGGCATGACTTAGACCTTATTGGAATAGATTGGATAGATAAAATAAACCTATGGGATGTACCATTGAGTGAAATATGCATGATGAAGTGCACAAATAGTCCCAGAGATCTACCCATGGTTCATGTAGCTAAGAAAGCCATAACGATAGAAGACCTCTTACAGAAACACAATAAGTTGTTCCAGAATAAATTGGGATGCTGTACCATTGGAAAGGCAAAGTTATATTTACGACAGGACGTAAAACCTGTTTTTTGTCCAAAACGCCAAGTCCCGTATGCAGCCACCGATAAAGTTGACAAGGAATTAGATCGATTAGAGAAACTGGGTGTTATACAACCGGTTAATTATTCAGCATGGGCAGCACCAATAGTAGTAGTGCCAAAAGCAAACGGAACTATTCGCCTGTGTGCAGACTTTTCAACAGGATTAAACGATGCTTTACAAAGTCACTCATATCCACTTCCCTTGCCAGAAGATTTATTTATTAAACTAAACGGTGGACGTTACTTTTCCAAACTCGATCTATCTGAAGCTTACTTACAAGTAGAAGTTGACGAAGGTTCGAGGGAGTTATTAACCATTAATACCCACCGTGGACTTTACCAGTTTAGCCGATTACCTTTTGGCGTAAAACCAGCTCCAGCAATTTTCCAACAGATTATGGATACCATGTTGTCTAACCTTGAAGGTGTGGCAGTTTATTTAGACGATATTATAGTTGTTGCCTCTTCTGCTCACGAACTGATGAGTCGGTTGGACGTAGTGCTCAATAGAATATCGCAAGCCGGTTTTCAATTACAAAAAGAAAAGTGTCAATTTATGCTGGATTCTGTTAAATATCTCGGATATATATTTGATAAAGATGGTCGCCGGCCAGATCCAGATAATATAAATGCCAACAAAAATATGCCCACACCAACTGATGTTACAACTCTCCGTTCATTCTTGGGGATGATTGGATATTATAGTATGTTCGTACCCCAGATGTATAAATTGAGACACCCGTTAAATCAACTTTTGATGGCTAATGCAAAATGGCACTGGACAAAAGAATGCCAATATTCTTTCGACGAAATAAAAAGGATTTTATCTTCTAAATTATTGTTGACTCATTACAATCCTAATCTTGAAATAATTGTTGCCGCTGATGCTTCCAACTATGGAATTGGGGCTGTTATCAGTCATCGTTTCCCTGATGGTAAAGAAAAGCCGATTGCTCATGTATCCCGAACACTTAACCCAGCTGAACGAAAATATAGTCAGATTGAAAAAGAAGGATTAGCTATAGTTTTTGCAGTAAAAAAATTTCATAAAATGATTTATGGACGTCGATTTACTCTTCTAACAGATCACAAGCCGCTTTTATCTATATTTGGATCGAAGTCAGGTATTCCTGCATATACAGCTAATCGATTACAACGCTGGGCTATTACACTACTTGCTTATGATTTCCGAATTCTATATAAATCAACTGAAAAGTTTGGACAAGCTGATGTTTTATCTCGATTAATTGCGAATCAGAAGCAGGAAAGCGAAGATTCTATTATTGCAACGATATCATTGGAAGAAGATATCCACCAAATACTACAAGTTGCTATAAAAGCAACACCATTATCCGCTGAAGATATTAGACGCTACACTCAAGAAGATGGCGAGCTGAAACGGATTATAAGTTACCTTGAACATGGTTGGCCTTCTCATATAGACAACAAAAACATTGAACAGTATGCTCACCGACGAAATTCTTTATCGCTCGTGGACGGGTGCCTAATGTTTGGAAATCGAGTTATTGTACCCACAAGCCTACGTCGGAAAGTGATGTTAGAACTGCACGCTGCACATCTAGGGGTAGCGCGGATGAAAGCACTTGCACGCGGTTATGTATATTAGCCGAATATTGATGCGCAGATTGAAGAATATGTCGCGAAATGTTCAGCATGTGCAAAAGCCATGAAAGCGCCTCGCAAGACCGAAATGCAGAGTTGGGGAACACCGTCAAATCCGTGGTCAAGAGTTCATGTAGATTTCGCCGGTCCTATAAACGGTAAACAGTTCTTGATAATCATTGATGCTTTCTCTAAGTGGCCAGAAGTCCACTATATGAAATATGTCTCAACACAAGCTACGGTGAAGAAACTGAGGCAAGTATTCAGTTGTTTTGGGTGTCCAGATATATTAGTGTCAGACAATGGACCACAGTTTACCTCTGCTGAATTTTCGAGGTTCTGCATTGCCAATGCCATTAAGCATATCAAGACACCCCCATACCATCCACAGTCTAACGGGTTAGTCGAAAGGTTCGTGGACACTTTTAAAAGAGCATTGCTTAAAGCCGAAGGGGAAGGAGAAATAGAGGATATAATTCAACGATTTTTACTAAGCTACTGCGCAACTCCCAACCCAGCAACAAATAATCAAGAAAGCCCGGCAGAAGTAATTTTCGGAAGAAAGATTAGAATACCTATGGAACAAATGAAGCCAAAACCTGAAATCATTCAATGCAAGAATAAACGAATGGAACTGCGATTTAACAAAAGGCATGGTGCCCTACCCAGAAGGTTTAATGTGGGACAAGCAGTAATGGCAAGAGATTATCAGGGAGTTAAGCCAACCTGGAAATTTGGCATCATAGTCCGAAGAAAAGGGAAAGTTATTTATGAAGTGAAAGTTGGACAAAAGATATGGGTACGACATGCAAACCAGATACAGCCGACCAGACAGGAGTGGGAGATAGAAAGTGATAGAAAGCATGATATACCATTAAATATATTAACCGAGTCGGATAATGAAATTAAAAAAGACCCGAATAAAAAGAAGACGTGTACAACACTCCCAAGGCGGTCGCAGCGCATCAGGCGGAAACCTAATCGTATAAAAATAAATCCCAAGGATCGCTATTATCCATGATGCTTCAAAAAAAGGGGAGGTGTTATATCCCATGGTGAATTATGAATGGTAACTCCAAGGACTATTTATCGACCAATGTATTATGCGTATTGTACAATTGTTACGTAACTAAACGATTCATATTTGTGTTTCTCTTATCATGAGCTTTATTTTGATCTTTGATTTATGATCATTCGATTCTTGAGTTATAATCAGTTTATCGATTACTTTGGTTTGTATAAAAACCCAGTATGTTTGTAAATAATGATCCATATTGCCGAGGCTGTTATTTGTGTTCTGGACTTAATTGGCTGGGCTAGGCAGATCGCAGGACCGGTTAGCACTCTAGGCTGCTCGTACGGGTTTCGTGTCACTGTTCCAATCGAGAATTCGCTCTCCCTGATTGGCGGTCTCATCAAGTCACACATCAACTACCCAACCACTCGGCCACAAGACCATCATTGAAAACCTGGGAGCCCTGGACGGCCGTTTCATCCTAGTAAGAAACTTTTTAACAGTACGCATCCACG